GGTCGTGTAAGGGGAATACACGCGACTTATGACTTATTTACAGCGTAGCTTGGACGTAGATAGAAGTAATTAGAGGGCACCGTCCTCTTGTCGTGGATGCTCTAACATTACAAAAAGTACTGAGATTAAGGCAAGAGCGCCCATGGAGAATTTTGTGGAACATTAGGTGCTTAGGTTTAGTTTCCGATGTCATGGTTGGCATGCCCTTTTTCTGTGTTTGTCTTGCTGTTTTTTTTTGTCTTACGGTTCCATACGCTCCTGATAATACCTGACTGGAGTCAGGGATGTAGAAGGCTTGGATGACCCGGGCGAGATCCGATTCGGTATTTCACCCTCGCGCCAAACGTGGTAACTATAATTAAACATGTAAGTAACGCGACCTCCTACTACCCGTTTGGCCTCAATTTTTTTATAATCATAATAAAATCTAAATGACTTTTCAATACTGAACCACTGTATAAACGTCCAAAAACGCGGAGAATTCTTTTTTCCTCAAAATGAATTGTACTTTTCGAGATTCGCCATTCATATCACTGACGGGTGCCTTCGCCTATCAACTAACGCTCTCTTCAATCGAAAATAACTGAAAAAATAGCTAGCCCTCTGCTTTGTCCTTCTGACTAAGCACTGACGCCGCTCTTAAAATATAATCGCTAGGCATTCCAGATAACGGCACATTTTCAAAGGACAGCCACTCTTCTGCATAAAAATAGACAGCAGAGTTATCAAGCATGCCGACCTTGCTCATAATCAAAACAGTATTATTACACAGAAGGTCAGTGGTCAGTCACTAATCTTGGGCAACAATCTCTGATCTAACATATTCCAATGAAGAAAATATGGGTGAGGTAAGTGAAATCTTCGACCGAAAAAATCGAATAAATTGCCTCCGAGACATTTTGTTGAATAAAAGTGAAGGTGCTGCAGTGGCACTTTCAAAAAGTAGCTAAAAACGTGCACACGGTGCCAATCCAGGCCAACCAAGCCTTTGACTACCTCCGAAAAGCAGCCAATAGTAGCATTTCCGCCTTAGAAGATCGGAACACATCG